TGTAATGAATACAGACATGCATACATACATACATACATACATACATACATACATACACATACATACATATGTAGACATCCATCCATCCATCCATCCATCCATCCATGCATGCATGCATGCATGCATGCACGCACACACACACACACACACAGAAACACACACACACACACTGCGACCGCGACCACGACCCTGACACTCAAACAAACAACACACATTGTCATTTCGAGCATCCCGACATGTTCCCAAGTTGACGACCTTTATTTCTTTGCTTTCAAAGTTGTCGCAAATTCTGTCTGTACGCTGTTGATAAATATATATATATATATATATATCTATCTATCTATCTATCTATCTATCTATCTGTGTCTGTGTTTGTCTATCTATCTATCGATCTATCTATCTTTGTGATGTAGCCTCTCTAGTATTTACTGGATGCGACTCCAGAATTACGAAGATAAAGGAAAGGTGAAACAAAGGCAAAAGCCACAAGGTAAAACAAAGGTGATGAAGCAAACGAAAGGTACAGAAAAGGTAAATGAGAGAAGGGAGAGGGGAGGGGGGAGCGGGAGGGAGGGCGCTTACCTTTTTCTACCTTTCCTCCCACTTCGCCCCTCACCTTTTGCTTACCTTTAGTTTACTTTTTACTAATTAATCTTATGACCCAGAAAATACCAAGAGCAATTTCACAAATCTATCTCTAGCCGGCTAGCTAGCTATCTATCTATCGATCGTGCGTCGTTAGATGGAGAACCCGGACCCGTCATCCGTGTGAGGACACTTTTTTGCAAGCAAGGGTTCAAGGCCGCAGATCCAAGATGCAACGAACACCGGAATCGTACTCTCGAGCTGCGAAACCGAGCGCACTTTTGGACCCTTTCGGTTCCACATCCGGGCACAGAATGGCCTAGAACCTGCCAGAGATATTCCCTCAGTGTGGAAGTTCTACAGAAACCAGGAATGAACATCGCACAAGGAAATCTTGCAACGCGCGACCACGCAGCTCTTAAGGAGGGCTGCTGTGGGTCTGGCTGCCATATGTGCACGTGTACTCGGAGGCCTGAGACCTCCATTGGCGGCCATCGGCGCGTTGAGGCGTTTCGGTGCACTTGAGGCCTGAGACCTCAACTGGATGCTCTTCGCGCGAAAAATTCTGTGCGGTCGCTGCTAAGAGAGACCTCCATTGGTTGCTATTTGGTGCGCAGAGAAGCTGGTTTGATCTCTTCTTGTGCCCTTCTAGTGGTCCTTACTAAGCTGTCCCCTTGGTATGGGCTGGTATCAATCCTTTTCCTGTCCTCCGCATCCTCTCCTTATGTCCTGCTATCTGGCAGACGGGCGCTGGTGGTGGCGGGGAGGTACTCCCATGCATCTGTCCTTAAAATCTAACAGTCCACTGAGGGTGAAGAACAAACAAATGCACACACACACACATTGCAAGCCCATAACACACCAACAAACAAAACATGAATGAAAAGACGACTTCACCGAGAGCTTTGTCGCGATCTCACCTGCTCCGGCTCCTCCTTCACCCAGGCCTTCAGAATGCAGGCAAAACACTTCTCCTGCTAATGATGCCAAATCACTCAATTCGGCACTTGCGAGAGACAATGTAGCACAATGAAGAATCAGAGGACCCAAGGACGGGAACTCACTCCGTTTAGTGGAGAAATACTGCGTTTTCTTGCGTCGGGCTTTCAAGGCGGAAAAAACAGTTCGCAGCAACCCCATCCCTCCCTCTGACATCAGGCAGTTTTTCGGCGCTCACACTCGGGCAATCCAGGCAAGGCATATGGTTCGAGTCTGCAACGTGAAACAAATCAACAACAACATGCAGCAGTGCCTTTTGCTCCTCTGGTTCTTGCTTGCTGCCGGTGAAGGCCTCGAAGGCTCTCTCTTGTCCCCAAAATGCGAAGTGCACTAGAGAATGGGGCAGGCTCTATGCTCATGTGCATCCGGTCTGCAGCAACTCTACCGGGCAAGTCTTGTATCCGCCCTTGCACAGGACAACAGCCACGCCAATCGAATAGTTGATCATAGCTCATGAAGGTAATAACGAAAGAAGAAAGCTGTAGCTGTGCGAGAGTTTGATCTGTATGCGCGACCCAAGTACAAAGAACAATCTGAATCATCAGACGGCAGGCATTACCAATCACAAGCCCAAACCCCACAGCCTCGAGGAGGGTGTGGGCTTTGGTATTGGGATTTAGGAAGGGGTGGTGGACACTTTCAGACACCCAGCGATGTCTGGTTCTCAATGGGAACTGAGGAAAAGGCTGGAGGTTTGGAAGGTTCTGTTGCAACTTTGGAGTTGGTGTATGAGTTTCGCCAGGCATTTGTCGAGTGCTATAATTGAGACTTTTGAGAGTTTCCGAAAATTAGGGTACCTTATTTTGGGGTCCTTAGATACTATTATTTAGGGTACTATATTAGGGTCCCCTATTCTCGGAAACCCCCTTTTGGAGATTTCGCAGGCAGTCCTGGCGGATGTTGAAGGGACTGGCAGGGGCCACACAGTTCTACACGAACCGACAGTCGCAGGTGCAGCATCTCTCGGATCCAAACTCATAGAGAGAAGTGCCACGAGCATGATGGCCCCGGAACACTCCGGAGCACCAAGGTTAACACCTGAATCCTGTTCTGATCTAACGTTTAGATCGATGTAGATTAGCATGCCATTTCACATGTCGTCAGGCTTGACAGAACTTGCTTTCGAAGATGCCTGGCAGGCGTCAAAAACCTCTAGAATACAGAATGATCGAAACACTGCAATTGCGGCAGGAATCCACACTTCGGCCCAGCACCCGCTCAACACAAGTTCCTCCGATAGAAAGCGCTTTGCGAGACGATAAAGAGATTGCGGGCGAGAGGGCGAGACCGAGAGCGACAGAGGGAGAGAGCGAGAGGCAGATGGCCATGTTTCACAGGCTTTCAAGTCGTCTATCGCCCTCCTTTTGCCATCCTGTGCCAAGACGGCGGATGAAAGAAACAGTCACAGAATGCAGCCTGGCACACCCCGGTCTTGGTCGGTTGCACGCGTGCATGTGAGCCGCAGAGCGACTCGACCGTCGACCCGACAAGGCACTAGAATCGAGGCTGCTGCATTGAAGGGCCCACTGGTTTTATGCTGCTTTTGCGTTGTCCACGTCGTCGTTGGTGCTGGCCTGACAGCAATGCTGCTTCACTTCGCAGGTGCCCACAGCAGCTGGGTTTGAAACGCCACACGAATGCCCATACTAACATCCGGCATCGCACATGTGAAAATAATGCGGGGTTAAGACCCCCGCTTCGAAGGCGGGTACGCAGGATGCGCAGCCGCCTGTCGGTCGGCGCGATCAACCTTGAAAGCAGGCCGTTTGAGGCGACACAGTTCAGAGTCATTGGGTGAGTGGTGAGTCTGGATGAGGCTAAGGCTGACAGAACCAGGTAGGTCTTGTGGAAGAAATTGTGCTGCAGAAGTTGATGACCAGTCAAACACCAATCCGCATGGAAAGAGACGGCCACACAGAAACCCGCAGTCGGGCTTTTGACGAGCCTTTCAATGCCATCCTAAATGGGGACGCCAGCTGCAATATCGGTTTGCACGAAGCACATTATCCTTCAACTCCCGCAAAGTCATATTGTGAGTACTTGGCCGAAAGATACCTGGCTGTCATGCGACGCACCGTACATCATCCTGAGGCACGGCACCGTGTAGCTAAATCCGGTTCCTGCATCCGCACAATGGCCAGGCGTGCCACTCCTTTTGGAAGTGTGTAGGTAAGAAAGCAAGAACCGGAAGCCTACACAATCCCACACCGAAGCCTACGGGCTCTGAACACACAGCCACAGTCTCCGAAACTGACAGACTGCCAGGCATCGGGCTTTCCGGACGCGGTTGTACTCATCGATTGCAAAGCGACCCTCATGGTCGCAATTCTGGCGTGGGACGCAAGGCACGGCGGCAAAGAAACAGCTACTGCAACAGGCAGAAGCCACGGCGGCCAAGTCTATGTGCTCTCTCACCGGCCTGACCCCTTTCAACTACAACATCTGCTTGCCGACCGGATGCTGCAAAAATAACTTTCAGTAGAATTTGATGGTATTGTGCTCTCACACGCTGGCTTCGACAAGTGAGGTTCTTGGTACGACTCGACTCGTCTTGACACACAACTGTGACCTCAGTGACCCTCAAGTGTCCTCAAGCCATAAACTGCCTCAAGCAAAACCCAGACTTGTACACGCCATTAGCCACTAGTTTGCAGGCTTCCAACGCTCACGTTCAAAGCAGCGGCAAAGGTTCTCGGGTCTCCACGCATACTTCCATGGCATCGTCAGCAGTGTCAGCAACCAACCCCCAACATCATGCTAAGCCTAGACCAAACCCCAGGATGCTACGCTTCACATCACCACACAAGCTATCAGTCCTACGGCGTCTGCGGAAGTGATCCCCGAAACGCGAGATCAAGAGGGCTTTTGGTTTGGCGCCTGCGGTGCACCGGCACCAGAACTACGGGCCTGGAGCAACTGCTTCAAGTCGTCGACACTGTTGATGCCCAGGTCAGGCTTCCTGGGTATGTGCATGGTATTCCCAAGGTCAAGGCGGCAATGACAATAGCTTATGCCGGAAGAAGGGCTGTGAGTAATGGGGTGGGAAGGAGTGGTGCGGCATGCCATCCTTGACACTTGTGCTTGTTCAGTTGGCCCGCTCCCGACTGAATCAGCTGCGAGATCCAAAAAATCCATACGTAAGCCCGGTGGCTTATTCTGCATAACTGCCACGCAGTCTTCCATCGCGGCCCAGCCCTCTCGATCAACATTGACAGCGTCCTCCAGCATGAGCGTTTCGGGCCTTTCGTTGTGGTGAAGCAAAGGCTTTGGTTCCTCGTTGCTCATGCTCAGCAAGCCGAAACAAAGACTTTGCAACAGGTCGAGGGAAGCTCGCGAATGATCAACACCGGTTTCTCGACAATCGCCCTTGGAGAACTCTGAAAAAGGACTGCCGGTACACGGGGGTGGAGACTGGTGCAACGACGGTGGAATGGGAATGCTGGCTGCAGCAGATCGCGGCGACTCGTCAAGGAGATGCCCAATCGGCAACTCAGATTTGCCAATGCGATCCTGTGTGTATGATAGTCAGAAGATGCCAGAAGCTGACTGGTGTGAGCCCCCCCACTGGATTTCAGACGTGGGCCCACAATTCAGCTGAAGCCTGAAAATCCCAATCCACCCCGAGATGTCCTCCCCATAGCTGTTCTTCAGGATGAATCCCAGCAGACGGGTGCATTGCTCATCCTTGCCTCAAAACTTCAGGCAGGCAAGCTGAACCCCTTATTTGGTGTGGAGGAGAGCTTGGGTACGGAAAAACTTCTCCAGGCGTGATCCTCAGCGGACATGGGAACGAGCGCGAGGCCTAATCAAGGACAGGCACAGCTGCTACAGTACGTAACACTGCCACTGTTTTTGGACTATGACCGGAAAATCAGAGGTTAGTGTCGCAACTAGATGCCTAAGAAGTTAGTGAGCTGCTGAAAAAATGCGTGCCTAGAGATGACACAGCACTGCGAAGGGACTGAGGGATGATGATCTAAGGCGGCCTATTGAATGGCATCTTCCTGAAGGGAGGTTTGATCAGTACATGTCATCTCCTTCTATGTGGTAAGGTAGGTCCGAAAGATTTCGTAGGAAGCATCCATGGGCCTCTACAAACATCTACTAAGAAAATTTCATGCTGGCTCCGAGATTTTTTGGCATACGCCGAATCATCCTGTGCAAAGGGCGGCAAGACAGCAGCTTTGTGGTTTGATCTCCGACTGCGACAGAATCAGGAGAATGAGAATCAGAGCACAGAGCCGAACCCGAGGTCTGAAGTCCTGTCCGAAGCTCACTCGCTGGCCGGTCTGTGGTTTCGAACTTTCTTTCGCTGTGCTGCTCGTAAGCTGTACAGATGCCACAAAGAAAAAGCACTTCCACGATCTCTATGATCTGGACATGGCGTGGATCGGGCGGCATTCAAATCCTCGCCCGAGACCCGGCCACTAAGTCCACAGCCAAGACTCGGAAGTGGGACGGGGAAAGGTCGGAGTGCCGGCAGTCAACGTCAATTACATTGACGGCACAATTCCTTTGAGGTATGTCCAGCAACTTTTGCAAGCCCAGCCCTGGAGTAGCCAAGGCGATCAGAGCCTTGTTCACCCAAGAATGGCAAACAAGCAACACTGCTTTCCCCTCTTGATGTTGCAGACTTCTGCTCAGACCGTGCAGGACACGCACCACCAAGTCCTTCCGACATGAGTTGTCAATTGTCAGCAACACTTCTTGAGGGTTTTCCGTTCGGGCACATGCAAGACACGGCTGGTGTTCGCTATCATAGAGTCTCAGTCGATCCCAAAATCTTGGCTGACGCTACAGTAGGTGCGAGAGATTCGGGGCTACAGATGTTCCTACAAATTGCATTGACATGCATTGAACTGAGACCGTTCTTGGATTTTCTGCTTTCTTCCGCGAGGAAGTTAAGGGCTCAACAGCCCTGGCCTCAGATTCCTGTCTCACCCTTGTTCTTGCGATACTTGCATAGAGTTCGTTGATGTTCGTTCTCCCAATGCACGTGCGCACATGTGATCGAACGTGAATGGTCCTTCGGGCTCTCCCCGTGCTCTCCGCCCACGCGCTCCTGAAGCCAAGCGAACTGTCACTGGCAAACAGCTGCAAGATCGTGGGTATTTGGGGGCTCTGGCGTCTCGAGGTACATTGTAGATCATGGTAGCATGCAAAATCGCGTGATGGTCCTTACAAAAACGGTCACGCGTCCTCCAGGTTGCCATCCCGCCATGCCTTTGCAATTGACTTCATTTCATCACCCACATCGGCAATGAGAGCACCTTCCTTGGACAATTCAAGCCGCTACCACCCGCTACCGATACTGCTACCGATGCTCCCGAGCAACAAAAGGTCAACCAAGCGGCGAGCAAGCCATAGCGCATTTCACGAAGATCGTCGATCACAAGACGCTCCGACTTCGGACAGCAGCGAGCCACAAGATCCGCCGATCGCACAGCTCGCCGCTGTGACGAAGAACCGATGATCTCCGGGGTTACCAGCGAGCAGAATTCCTGTGCCAGCTCTTCGGCCTGCTTCTCGCCGTTACTATTTAACTCTGAATCAAGGTCGCCCCCACACAGCAGGCCCTTCTCGTTGGCCGTCGTCTCGCCGTGTCGAGCCAGGAACAGGCGAACACAACCGGCTTCCAGGGGTGGCATCTCTTCCAAGGCTTTCGTTAAGGATCTACTGACACTGATTCCTGCGGGCATCGGGGCGGCTTGGAGCTTCACCGGCGCAGGAGTGGACCAAGCGCGGAGGAACGAGTCGCCTTGGAATGACAGCAGTTCAGAGCCCAATACAGCTGCACAAAATTCACCATCCAAGGCGATCTCTTGCTTCAGCTGCTCGATAGTGTCAAATTTCAGCTCCGGTCGGATGTAAGCCAACACGAGCAAGCGCAGGTGGCATCCATAGAAATCTTGGTCAAAGGTGTGGAGAATCCACGGTTCCACGGTCTTCGCCTTGACATCTGTAAAGGTCGGATTCCAACCCATGCTCAGCGCCACTTTGTGGACCTCTTGGCCTCCGACCGCCTCCTCGATACTGCCCCATGCACAGTAGATGCCCGCGCGATGCGTCTCGGCAAAATCTCGCATTGCACGCTCTTGCTCAGACAAGTCACGCATGTCCCGGTCCCAGTTCACCTGCATGTTTGCAGTGGGGAACCCGAGTTGCTTGGATCCACGGCCAAAGCCATGAACCACCTTTGCCCTCAGCCGCACAGGCTCAATGCGCGCCAGGTGTCTGGCTTGCATGTTGCCGCGAGTTATCAGTCCTGCACCTGCTCGTAAGGTTACCTATGCGTACTGCGTACTACTGATTCCTTTGTGAAAGTGGGCTGGGGGATGGTTTTGTTTTGCCAAGTTTGGTATTCGAATTTGACATGCCAGAGCTGAAGTACACGCCCCCTTGAACTTGGCAAGCTGCAGCTTCTCGACTCTTAGTTGGCATGGATCGGAAGTACAACTAGAGCCTGAAAGAACACTGTTGATACGTTTCAGCTGCAATCTACGAGGCCCCCCCCCCCCCCCCCCCCCGCAACTTGGTACCCGGTAGATCCACGCCTCGCCACTGACCTCCACCTCCTCCTTGGAGTCGCCAGGACCTTGGCACACAGTCTGCCTGTCTCTTTTGCCGTCTCCTTCGCTGGGCCTAAAAGCGGGGACCCCGCGAACAGCGGCAGGCCCTTCTTATGGAATGCAGAGCTCATGGTTGCAGCGATTGAATCGATAGCATCTGAAGCTTTGACTCTTAGACAGGTCAGGCACCGAAAAACAACACAGAAATTTCATGCATCCTCCTGATAATGCTGGCGATAAGCCTCACATGCCTAGCGCAGCCTCGAGTCAGTGGGATCCACAATGTGATCTCCTTGAAACCCTCGTCTGGCAAACTAGCAGAGTTCTGGAGCCCGACTTCCATGCACGCCCCACTGATGAGGGAAGAAAAAGAACTCTTGAACAGGTTCAGATGCGACTTGCGTCAGTCTCGCCCAAGCTGCCTCTGCTGTGCTGGTGTTGGCCCTGCCCCGACCTTCCCGACCTGCACCTCATGCCTCTCCTGTCGGAAAGATTCGGAAAGCACATCCCGCGATCCTGCACCTTGTCTTGGTCACTAGAGCTCGGATAGCATGCCAAGCGTTCATAGCCTCTCTCTTCCCAGAGCTGCAGTCCGCGCTACCCGGGTGGGCTGAGGTGTGTGAGCATCCAGTTGCGTGCTGTTTTCCTTTCTCGGAGCTGGTTCCCCGACGCTTTCTTCATTTTGTCTTGCTCAGGTCGTGAGGCGGTGGCAATGCCAAGACTCTTTCTTCGTCATCGGGGCATCGGCAGCGTCCCGAGCCGTCAAGCTCACTCCTGTTTAATGCCCCCTCGCTTCTTCCATCGGGCATTGTGGATCTGTCAACTTCCCCGAGCACCAAGGGCCCCTCCATGTGCTATGGGGCATTGGAAGGATGGTGATAGATTTTCCAGGTTTCGACACCAACACAAGGCACACCAAAGTTTTGAGTCTCCCCCAGTTCCAAAAAGGATTGTGAGTGCATGTCCCTCTCTCTCTCCCTCTCTCGACTCAGCTGTACTGCTTGGACTTGCTGCTGTCTTCGCTTCCCTAAAAGCTTTTTGCCAGAGATGCGGCAAACTGGCCCAGTCCAGCATGGTAAAGCTCGAACTGCTTCGTATCAGAGCTGGTGTCCTATTTTTTCTAAGCACAAAGGGTCTCATGCTGCAGGTTTCGAAGCACGGGCTTCACACCTGAGGGCCCGACTGGGCCTTCACGTTCTGCTGGGTCTGAGGAGCAGGTGTCGGCTGCTTCCAGTGGTCCTTCTGAGTCGGAGCAGCCGAAGTATCAGCGCCACGCTGAAACCGCCTGTCTTCAAACAACCCGCTCTCTCACACATATGGGACTCAAAATGACTCACGAAACATTGCATTGTCAAAACACTCCTCAGCCCCGAAGAGTATCCCCGTGACAAGCAGGGCGAAGGCTTACCAACCAGGATTTCCGAGTACTGTTCTTGCACTCCGTCGGTTATCCCTCCGGGCCTTGAACCCTCCAGGGCTTAAAGCCTTAATGACAGGTTAAGACAAATAGGCAAAGCTTGTACGGAAGATGCCAAAGTCAAGACAACAAACAGCAAAATGATACTTTATGTCTACAAGTACTTGTAAACGATAAAATTCGATAAAAACACCCGTGGAAAGTTTTCCTGTGGGACGTGCCCCCGCGCGAAACTGTAGTGTCAGTTTTCCAGACGTTCGATAAGATTCATCGTTTTGCCCCGCGTCCTGTCGCAGTTCTAATCATGCACGTTGACAGCTATGCACAGCATGTTTTACTTGCGGGTAGGATTCAACAAGATTTTGCCGGCCCCATTGACAAACCTTTCAGCCTGAGGCCCTGAGGTTTTAAGGGCCTGTGGTTCTGGGGGCCCTATACATCTTGTCACCGGCGTTTTAAGTTATGGGGTTTCGGGCTGTGAAGCGGGGCCGCGGCCGGTGAGGATTGGGAGGGGTGCCTGGACAACAGCATGAAGTCGCCACCACTACACTACTGCCAATAATACGAGCACTAGTACCAATACGAACTGATACTGCTACTAGTACTAAATACTGAGTCTGAGAACTAAATACTGATACTAATCCTACTGCTCATACTAATACTGCCATCCGCTGCAACTGCTGCTGCCGCCGTTATGCTGCTACGACGACCACCACTACCTACCACTACCATTACAGCTACGACCTACGACGACGACCTACTACGACGACGACGACGATGACGGCTGTCGCTGCTACTGCCACCACGACCACAACAGCTACTACTAGTACTACCACGACGACAACGACGACGACAACGACGACGACTACAACTACAACATACTACAACAACTACTACTATTACTATTGCTACAGCTACTGCTGCTACTACTACGACGACGACTGCTAAAACAACTACTACAACTTTACTATGACTACTACTATGACTACTACTATAACTACTACTATGACTGCTGCTACTACTACTACTACTACTGCTACTACTACTACTACTACTACTACTACTACTGCTACTACGACTACGACTACGACTATGACTACGGCTACGACTACTACTACTACTACTACTACTACCACCACTACCACTACCACTACCACCACCACTGCTACTACTACTACTACTACTACTACGACTACTGCTACTATAGTACTGGTACTTCTACTATACTACTACTACTACTACTACTACTACCACCACCCCCACCACCTCGACGACTACGACTGCTGCTACTAGTATTCTTACTCCTGCTGCTGCTGCTGCTGCTGGCATCGAAATGGGGCGCTGGGGCTTCATAATTGACGGATTGAGAATGCTCGAGGACTGCAGGTAACCCTTCTCTCTCTCTCGTGGCTAACCCCTAAACCCAGACATGTTGTAGCATATCTCGATCAATATTCGACTCCGCCAAGCAGAACAGCGCAGAGATCCCTGTAACTGTGCCGCGCAGGACCACCCAGGCGACGACGTGGAAGTTGTGGACTGCCAATTGTCAGACCTCTCAAGCTTAGCAAGAGGAATCTTTGGCACGGTGCGCTCCCGGTCCAGGGTAAGCTTGAGGATTCATGTTGTTAGGCCCGGAGTCGATGCCTGAGGGTTAGGCTGCAGGCCAACCCGAGGTCGCTCAAGTTCGATGATACGTTTCAGTGTGTGCGGAAGATGCCACCCGGCTCCGTAACTAATTACTATCTTCGTTGATGTGTTGAGCACCGTATCACCTCGCCAGGCTCAAAGCGCGACTCCCATGCCATGACCGCACACATGAAGTCGTTTCAATTAACGTGGCGACCGCTCGTACAAACATCAGCTGAGGTCGCCGCTGGCCCGACGACTGCCACTGGTTCTGATCGCTGTAGCTGTTGTTGCCGTAAGAATTGCTGTAATCGTTCTTGTCGTAGTCGTAGCCGTAGCTCTTCCCATTGCCATAACTGTTGTTCGATTTGGCCTGCGACGCAGGAGCCGTAGTCTTGCAAACGGAAGAAGCACTTCTGGTAGTTCAACCCCTAGACCGGAGTATACCGGAGTGACACCAATAGCTGAAACGAAGTCGGCAACCAGGCGCTTCAATACTTTCTGGTCTCATTCTTGCAAACCCTGAAATAGCCGAAACCTAGCCATATCCTTTGTTCTCACAATTTCTCACAGGCTCCGGTGCCCGACACGGAAGAGCGGCGGCCTCGTGCCAAGTCTCCGCTTTCCCAGCCTCAGTCCAAACGCAGAGACTGAGGCTTTGCCCCAGAGCTTCAGATGGGCTCAGTAGCCTCTTCGGAGATGGTAATCCAAGAGCAGCCAGAGCCTTCTCCCCGCCTCGGCCTTGCCATGCCTTCAACAGAACCTCACATCAGCAATTCCGGTCCTTTCAATGAATACTTTTTTTCTCGTAGCTTCTAGGATCGTTTGGGGCACATGTGATGTGTATTCCTTAAGCCCGCGCTGAGCCGCACTGGGCTTCTTCATTTTGTGCTGTTGGCCTGAACCAATGCAAGACCCTGAGCTTGCAAACAGTCGTCTGCGTAACACACACGCCTGCAAGCACGCCTTCGCACACGCACACACACACACACACACGCACACACGTGCACACACACAACAAAAAATAAAGCAATCAGCGGACACAAACAGCCATCTGGGGAAGGCGCCGAGCCCCCGCCACCGCCACCCCAACCTGCAGAACAAGCGCAAGCGCCGTTGAGGATAGACGACAAGCTGAGGCAAGCATGAACAGTATCCGCAGCCATTGCAGCTACTGCAGTGACCTCTTCTACAGCCCTCGCCCTACAAGAAAACCTTGAATAGGAAATTCAGATGTCGTATGAGTGGTGCCAGTTTGTGCCATCTGTTGTCTGAACAAGGGATTGAAAGTAGAACAACTGAAATATATGAGACGACAGGCCTTAAACTCAAAACCCTGCAAGAAATTTCGTGCACGAAAAAACCAACCCGTAATGCAAATGGCGCAGAAACCTGAGCAGGAGTTGGAAGATGTTGGAAGACGGTGGTGGCTACATCGCACATTAGTGAATCGTGGTGCTCGAATCGTCAAGCTTTTACGTTGCAACAGCTGGCCTCCACCACTCTCATGCACTGTAATGTGCCACTCACCGGTGTGTGAGTTCCCAGACCTTTCAAAGAGAGCAGGCAAGCAGCGTCTTTGAAACACGCAGCCTGACGTCCACTCCTCTCCCCACACCAGATTCCCTGTCACTTCATCTTCACGATGTAAGCTTGAAGCATGAGCTGCCCACCAAATCAGTTTCGAACCAAGAAATTGCGTGTATTTCTGCATCCCAAAAACAAGAAAACGTTGAGGGCCGCACAAAGCGAAGCGGGGCCTTCCTGTTCCTGAGTTGACTTGAAAAGGGTTGAGGGTTTAGGGCTCAGGGAAATCATGGGAAATCTGAGCCGTTTGCCCAAGACCGCGGCATTCCACGGGCTCGGGCAACCAAAGCTACGAAAGAACATTTACTTGGCAGTTTACCTTCGAGAGCAGCTTACGCCCGTCACCTCCCAATCCTGCTGCACCTACATCTACAGAAGCCCGCCCTGGTGCTTCCGGAATCTCCGCCACCCTGTCCACGGTTGGTGTGCATCTCAAACTTGGGAGTTGTCTTCCAGGAAATTTTGCTGGAATTCACAATTTGAACCAACGCTGGCTCAATCGGACAGTGTTCCCCTTCAAGTTGGGCCTGCGGCCAAATGTTGGCAGATGTCCACCCAAGTAGCCCTTGAAGAAAAACTCGTGTATGTGTCAGTCTAAACAGGTCGGCTGTAGCTGGGCATGATACCTGAGGCGATCGCTTGCACAGGTCATGTTCGTTCGGACCGCATTGAGCACATCATCTTCTGACACGCCTGCACAGAGTAGGGCAGGCACACCGGGCATGGGCATGCAAAAGCATGTATACTCGTCTGAAACCACCACCTACACTAACTGCCTCACCATTCTGCCATGAAGCCTACGAAGCCCCAACCCTCTCAGGGCTTCATCGCACGACTAATCGTGTTATGGCGAAGAAGAGCAACAACAACTCTTTGAGATGCAACGCCTTGGCTGTTGCCCCAGCATTCCATGAGGTTCGTCAAGGAAAGAGTCCTGCCAGAATGGCCAGGATCCGGGTCTCACAATGTTCGAGACGCTGTTGAAATTCCAGAGCAACAGCGTGCTACAAGATCCATGGTGGCAGGTCCCGTTGCCATCCACATGGAGACCGTGCGGCCTGATGCGCACAAACATGCGCAATGCCACAATGAAGGCGTGGACTGCTTCTACAGGACCCATCCTCTGCGGCACTCAAAGATCAAGACCAGTCAGACTTCACTGCTATCAAGTCGTGAGTCATGGCAACCCATGCAGGACACTTCCGTGGCTAATGACTAATGACACCCCTGAATTTAATCTCGAGGCACGGCTGCACACCTAGTACTTCACAGACAGCAAGCTGTCCTGCCTTTTGTCTGAATACCTCCCCAAGACCGCCAGCTTCTTGGAGATCCACTGCAGCGTTGAATCTTTGTTCTTCCTGAGCTTCCCATACTTGACGTGTATGCCGGCTCCACAACTGCACCACTACGACCTCTTCGAAATGCTCTTACTCTTCCAACAAACAATAATCGTAATAATAAGAATAAGAATAAGAATAATAATAACAATAAAAATAATAATAATAGTAACCATTGGTTCTGAATGTTCCGACGGGCCAATAGAGGGCTGTTCTGTTCGACCGGTATGCGGTTCTATTATCCTACCGGGACTCGTGCCCACTCATCGGGCAAAGGAGCTCACTTCCAGGGGCCTTGTTCTCCTTATCGGGAGCATTAGGATTTCACGAGGCATGCCACCTCCCCGAATCCAAGTACACTGCGGCATGAGGTTTTGGTCCTGCCGGGTGGAACGGAGCCCTTGCCGTGTCAGCACGATCAGGTGTGGCTGTCCGGCTACGCAGCCGAAACAGCCACGAGATCGGCCTGCGATGCCGGCGTGCCGAAACCCACCTGGTTTCTAGATTTTCCCTTGCAGGCACCTCTTCGGTTTTTTGCTGTCTGCTTCCGGGCCTCCAAATCCCACAGGAGTTGCTTCAAAACTCTGCATCTTACAGTCAACCGCTACTGTAGACGCTGCGGCCGGGACGCGGGGAACGCGATCGGTGGCCTCCCCACCCCATGGCCTGTGCAATCATCGACTTGAAAAGGCAAGAGCCAGTGGCATCACTTTGCTTGTCGCAGGTTCCCAGTTGCAGATCACAAGTTGGAGGCACGCCGCACAGGCCCCGCATTTCCCTGAATTCGCCTTAAAATTCCTCAAAACCCTCCAGGCTCCAGCAGGCACCTTGTCAAGAAATTGGATTCTGAGACTCCGGGCTCCGTTGAATTCAACTTTCAAGATTGAATGATGTAAGGCAAAGGAACGATACCCGGCTCTTCCCACTCGATTCAGCCTGGCACCGAAACAACCGGCCCATCTCTGAATGTGCATACACACCTTCTCGTTCTAAGCTATGCGGCGGCTCCAGGTGGCAATGCTACGACGGCCGCGTACAGAACTCCAAAGTACAGACCGTGAATCCGCGGCATGGCATATCAATGCATGGAGCTACAAGCGCTATCCGAAAACATTTGGCCGAATGGTAACTTATTACGGCCTCGGTACTGCGCATGTTCAACCCGCGTTCGCACATGCTCCTGAGTCTTGGAGTATTAAATGCTGAACGCAATACCCCAAAACTCCCAAGGCAGCCCTAGGCACCTCGATCTTTCAGCTCCACCAATTCCAGGCGGGCGTTGACTTGCGATCTGCTTGAATGCTTCGCTTGTTGTATATACACTCCGAAGTCGCAGCTAGCAGTGATTGCAGATACTGGCTTGGTACTTTTGTGGAAACTTGGCGGCAAATGCTCAGTAGCCTCAGGTGCATACCCCTCGCCTGTCTGTTGGGCCAAAAACACGGGTCAACGAGCCGTGGTCATCCAGCGACAACTATGCGCCACTCACTGCGCTCGCTTGGCCTGAACATGGCATGCCCCCATGCACAGCAAACCTCATCTCAGATGTATCGATGTCCCTTTTGGCTCTCGGCAAAACCAGACTGCCGACTTGTGCTCGCTTTGCGAAGAAGGCATCCTTCATCAGCAGAGCAGCGGGTGTGCTTTGCCACCCTTGCTTCGAATCCATCGAAACCCATACAGCGCCTGACAAACAGTAAGAGCTTGGATATAGACCAACACCTGCACCTGCTCAACTGGAACGCCGACTACCTGGCTACACCGATTTAGGTCCCACATACAAGCTAACATACCCCGACTGCGTTCCTGCAGGTTTTACTTCACCTAGTCTTTGCCTAGCTGCGTCAGGAATACAGCACTCGTGCTCAGCCCGATTTCCTGGGCTGCGCCTCCATCATGCGGACATGAACCTGGCATCGAAACAGGCCCAACTGATGCAAGGCTTTGGGGTTGTGTCTCGGAATTCTTCAATGCTCTCGTCAAAACGATTACACTGGCAACTTCGGTCCATCATGGAATGTAGCGACCACCGGAGGACCCAGACTAAGCACAGAAGAGCCCAAGCAAAAAGTTCAATTTCTGTGTAGTGGGACGGAGAAGGTTTAAGACTGGGACTCTGGCATGCTAGAGACCGTAGTTTGCAAGGAAACGCCTCCGCACTCATGAACTGTTCCAGCCCTTGCCTACGACGCGCAATCAATCACAGCAATTTCCCTTTTCTGCTTGCCAGCCACTGCCCACTCTCGGAGCACAACAAGCAAGCCTTTCATTAAACCAGTTTCTGGGCATACAGCGTTTCAACAGGCAGCCGCGGTTTAAGAATTTTATAAACAAAATAATTCACTGATGCCTCGCAACTTGGAGATCTTCCCGACCCTCGACATCATTGGGCATCTTGCTTTGGTGTGTTTTTGCATGCCATGCTGGCATCTGCGCGAGCTCCTGCTGAACGGAGTCGACGACTCTGATAACGGAGGCTCAAAGTCCCGCTTTGGGAAAGGTTTTGAGCTATATTATATCGGGGCATTCGATAGAAGTGCAGTGGGTCTTCTCAAGTACTACATCTGGGCAGCTGCAAAAAAGGACAGTCAGCCTAGGTTCAGACGCGTGCAAACTATCATCTCACGATGATCTCTGACAGGATCATCTGGCCAGCTGCAGAAATTGCTGATTCACCTTCCAGCGGCGATCGGTCAAACAAACAACGCGTAGTAAACAGACATTTCATCTGCGTCATGTTCCACACAATTATCCGATAGAGCCCTTACGGCGAACAGGCAGAACCCACGAAACTGCCGCCCAAAAGGCAATTTGTCTCCGCAGACTAGTCAAGCACCAGCGCCGCAGCCTGAGAAGCGTGACCAAGAAGCGCATCCAAAGAACCAAGCGAATTCATAATATTCAAACGTTAATTCTGGAGGCATTCATGCCTGCAAACAGACCAACACTGGCAACTGGCAAGAGGCAAGTGTTTGCAGCATCAATTCTGCGGCAGTATGGAATCCGTATTTCTCAAACCTCGAAAGTTGCACATGCACATCATGCGCATTCGCAAGCTCACGATTTCAATCGGTTCTGACGTGTCCAACGGAACCAACCTGAACCCACCCACATCTACAGGAACGGGGAGGGGTCAATGGGTGTTGGTGTGTGAACTGAGTCAACATGTCTTGCACGTTCGCGTGCGTACATGGCTAGTTCTCCCAATAAGGGCCCTTTCTAGGCCACCAAAATAGTACGACACCCTTATAAACAGGACCCTAGTTTAGAGAACTGTTGAACTACCCACATACAAACTGATGCCTCGTGCGCTGTGCCCTCGGCTAGGGCGCCCTGAGCCGCGGCAGCTGAAACAGCAGGCAGCTGGGCCTCCGAGTCAGGCTGAGGGGGATCGAAGATACTTGGGACTCAGAGCTTGGGACTTTGCAGTTCGTTGGATATCAGATGTGGCAAGTTGGCTTATTTCTGAGCGTAAGCTGTCACCTTTTTGCAGATCCACGCCGCCTCATGCCACACTGAAGCTCCAGCAGCTAGAGAGCATCAGGCAAGCAACGATTCTGGCAGCACGAGCGATTGTCTCTTCTTGGCCGCCTCGTGCTCTACGCTGGGAGGCTCCGCCGGCGGTGGCGGAGGTCCTGGTGGCGTGCCAGGCAACGGCCCGGGCAGGCCAGGATTCGTGGCCAACAGCGGCGAAACACCCGGTGGCCGCACGCCGTTGCTGGGCAGCCTGGATGCTTGAATTCTGTGATGTCTAGGTGTTTACATATATATATATATATATATATGCATATATACATACATACATATGCATATATATATATATAGCTGTAATTATGCATATATATATATATATATACACACACGTGTATGGTTGCATGTGTGTTTGATTTATCGTTGTACTTACTTATGTATTTGTTTGTCTGTGTAAGTACATATCTATTCATTTGTTTCTATCAATCAACCTATCGTTCCATTCAGTGGCTCAACTATTTTATGTATTCATGCAGTTAGTTAGTCAGTTTGTTAGTTAGTTAGTTCGTTCGTTAGTTAGTTACTTAGTTAGTTCGTTATTTAGTTCGTTCGTTCGTTCGTTCGTTCGTTCGTTCGTTCGCTCGTTCGTTCGTTCGTTCGTTAGTTAGTTAGTTAGTTAGTTGGTTGGTTGGTTGGTTGGTTGGTTGGTTGGTTGGTTGGTTGGTTGGTTGGTTGGTTGGTTAGTTAGTTAGTTAGTTAGTTTATTAGCTGGTTAGTTAGTTGGCTAGTTAGCTGGCTGGGCAGTTAGTTAGCTAGCTAGCTAGCTAGGTAGTTAGCTAGTTCGTTAGTTAGTTAGTTAATTAGTTAGTTGGTTGGTTGGTTGGTTGGTCGGTTGGCTGGCGGGTTGGTTGGTTGGTTAGGTAGGTAGTCAGATAGCTAGCAAGTTAGTTAGTTAGTTAGTTAGTTAGCTAGCCAGCCAGCCAGCCAGCCACTCAGTCAGTCAGTCAAAAAGTCAATCACCCTGGCAGTTGCTTTAGCCAGCTTTGTTAATCAGGTCGCCTATTTAGCCTAGTTTTGCCAGTTAGGTTAGTTTATTCGTTCAGTTGATTTGGCTTGCTAGTTAGTTAGCAGCTGGTCAACTCGCTAGCTCAGTGGCTGGGAAGCTGGGCCGTTAGTCCGTTAGCCTGTTGGTCCCTGAGTCAGGTTGTCCGATAGTCACTCAATCAGTCAGTCAGTCAATCAGCGAGTGAGTGAGTGAGCGAGCGACTGAGTGATTCAGGGAGTGAGTGAGTGACTGACTGAATCGGTAAGTTGATGAGCTAGTGAGCCAGCTAGGTAGTTAGTTAGTTCGTTCTTTACTTGAGAAGTCAGTCAGCCAATCAGTCAGGGCGTTGATTAGTTGGTCAGTCCGTCCGTCATTCGGTCGGTTCGTAGTTAGCACGTTAAATACATCAGTTTGTAGGTTAGATAGTGGGCTAGATCGCATCTTAGTTGCCACTATCGAGTACGTTGGTCAGTACCTTAGTCAGCACGCTAGTTCTTCCGAGCGGCGCTGGAGGACCCCAGGCACCTTGCACAAAAAGCAGATTTCGAGCCAGTTGAGGACCACGGACCAAGGCAAGCTCACTCGAATACAAGTGATTTTGCAAATGGTATATGGTTGCATGACAGTTGCATGGCACGAATAAGAGTGGCCACATGTACAAGGTAGCAAGCCCGAATCCGCCTCATGCTATGGCGACAACTACACCCGCCACCCCCGGACACAAGAGCCCTTACAATGCTTGAAACACAGCATTCCGGCCACGTGGCTCTGTAGTGGCGGCGGGTAGCTAGCGGGCGGCGGATAGCTGGCAGGTGGCGGGAACCACGGAGCCGGCGTTGCCGGAGCTGGAGCCATCGAGTACGCGGAGGCGACCTTCGTCTAGCTGTGTAATGCTCCGCAAGCTTCATAGACCCGAATAAACCGCTTCGAGTACGTGCGAAATGTACAGGAATCAGAAGTTGAGGGCCTGCAGGCTTCCTGATTCAGGCCTTCGCAAGGCAGTGAGAAGGTCTGCGTGACGGGAGTGCACCGGACATGGCTTCAGGTATCTTCAGGTTTCACCTTCCATCATAATCCAGGTCCTGATGGCTTCCTTCCTGAGGCTCGGCACAGATTGAGCTCCACAGGGCGCAACGGAGCGCACAGAGGCGCTGTAGATGCCAGTCGGCTGCAAATTGCCAACCTCAGCCACAGATGCTGCAGGCAAGGGTATTTAGGGTATTTGTCTTCTTCTGGAAAAGTGCACTATGAGCATGCGTTCGTCATACCGGCTTCTCTTCCACCGCCCGAAAGGAGGACACTCTGCTTGTGTTGGCTGGTAAGCCGCCATTCCAGGCTTCAGTACAAGCAGCTCGTGATTGCGGCTATGACTTCCCTAAAGTTCCTTCCATCTCAACAGGGCGGTGACCCTCGAGTGGCGGCTGCGGCAGTTCCACCTCACCTGCATGACCTTCCTCTTCGAGCACATAGAGGCTCAAGGCAAGACTTGCTTTTGGTCTCCATAAGGTTTCTGCCTCTCAGCTCATGTGACAGGTACCTTTGCAGGAGACCCTGGCTGGAAGACTCCCCGCATCGAAAGGAACTGCAGAGTCAGAGGGGCTCTCAGTTCCACCAGCACTTCCCGCAAGTTGTCGGGAACAGCTCCTCAGCAGAACGCCAGCAAAGATCGGCAAAGCACGGCTTGATACGGTATGCCCTGTTGAACACTACGTCTGCACATACAATCGTAGAGCTCGAGAGGAAGTCTACCCGGTGTAAGGTACTGGGGGGCTCTTGACCTTGCCACGGAGCTTTTGAAGCTCTCCATTGATCCGGAGGTCTCCTGAATTCTAGGGCAACAACATAGCTCGCAAACTGGGTGGATCACTGAGGTCGCCATGCCCAGCTCCTCATATAGATCTACCACGTAGGCCGTTGCATGGATGATGGTGGGCCATTGGATAAGAATGCCGCGCCCTCCGTTGGGCTCCTGCAAAACATCTTGCAAATGTTCTAAATTGCCATGCAGCAACATGAAAGCACTGACAATGCATCTCGCTCCTCAGGTGTCTTAACCCAGAGTACCATTCTCGAGCGAACCGAAGCGCGCATCCCTTTTCCGCACTAGTCCCGCCTCGTACGGTATGAGCTCCGGCGGCGAGGGAGCCGGGATGATGCTGCCAGAGGCCGCACGCCAGTCGACCGTCGAGGCGATACCATCTTCAAGGGAGATGGTGCAAAGGAGTGTAAACATGTATACATGCATTGTGAGTCCGGTCTCATCAACCCGAGAGTACAGGGTTTCTGCAGCCTTCAGCGGTTCAGGGGTGCATTCTATGCTCTCTTCGCTTCGGCAGTAAGGTAGCAAAACAGTAAGAAACTGCACCTACAAGTCGCGAAGGCATATAACCTGTC